TTGTTCCAGAGCATGCAAGCACTGGGATTAATTAGACCTTGTGATCATCAGGGGGAAAGACCTGCCCAGCGTACTAAACAGCTACACTTATTACAGTGCAGCTAGTGACACAGACCACTCCCTTATTGTCGGCAAAGTGAAAGTGATACCAAAGAAGCTGCCTAAAATCAAGCATAAGAGTCAGCCAAGAATTAATATAGCACAGAAGTCCAAAGCAAGTGTTTCAACTTCCAAAGGACCTTTGAATTAGCTATGTCTATGAAGGCACCAACTGCAAAGGCTGAAAGAACTTGAAGTGGAGTAAGTGCAATCATCCAGGAAACAGTTACAGAAGTAGCTGAGAAAAAGAAATTGTCAAATAAAAACTGGTTTGAGGCACACTTCGAGAAGTGGATGCTGCCACTTCTCGAAGCCAAGAACACAGCCTACCTGAAACACAGCCAGAATCCAACAAAGTTCCAAGGCCAAGCTGAAGCATACCAGGGCAATGGTACAGACAACAGCCAGATGCTGTGCAAACCAGTACTGGACTGACCTATGTCAGGACATACAGTTTGCCTCAGACACCGGAAACCTGCAAGTTATGTATGAAGGCCTGAAGAAAGCTCTTAGACCAACAGTCATTAAAGTCACCCCCCTCATGTCTCGAGGTGGCAAAGTCAAAACCACTGAAAGAACAAGCAGATGTCATGCTGCATCGAAGATTACTTAGAGCTTTACTCCCATGAAACAGACATTTTAGAAGAGGTACCGAATCAACTTCCAAATCTAAGTGTACTGGCACAGCTAGACAAAAAGCCTACAGCTGAAGAATAGGGGTGTGTGAAACGGCCGTATTTGATTCGGATTTGGATTCAGCCCAAATCAGGGACAGTGATTTGATTCGTTGATTCAGATCACTGTCCGTGATTCAATTCAGCCAAATCCAAATCTGAAGATTTGATGCTGATTTGGAGAATCAGCAGTTTGGCCATAGACACACCTTTAAATGTTTTTTCTACATACCCTGAGGTACCAGGCATGGCTTGTCAATGCTGCGATGCTGGGGCAGATGGAGCATGCCACAAGAGTGCAGGGGGCCCCCCCACATGCTCAGTGGCGAATCTGGAAGTGGACCAGACGTAGTTCCAGTCCACGTCTGGGTCCACTGGGCAGCGAATCGGGGGGGCCCCAGTGCCCCTCCCAGCTCAGAGATTGTTTGTGGGATCCCCAGGTGCCCCCCCGACCCAGAAAGCACCAGTTGATGAGCTGGAGGGGTGCCGGGGGGCCCCACAGCGCACTCCCTGGCAGACCCAGAAGTGGACCGGATGTGCTTCTGGTCCACTTCGGGGTCTGCTGTCAAGTGTGCTGAGGAGCCCTCCATGTTGCTGTGGGATGCTCCACCTGCCCCAGTGTCACAGCATTCATGAGCTGCCTGGTACCTTGTGGTATGTAGAAAAAACATTTAAAGCTGTGTCTATGTCTGAATCACCGAATCTTTCTGAATCTCTCCAAATAGATTCGGAGAGATTAAAGGGCCTCCTGATTTGATTCAGATTTGGAGATTGAGCCACCGAATCGGGCCAAATCTCTGATGAATCAAATCAGTGACCAAAGCTTTGCACAGCCCTACTGAAGAACTTAGCAAGGCCACAGACTTTCTAGCAAGCAGAAAAGCACCAGGGGAGGATGGCATCCCAGCTGAGGTTCTCAAGTGCGGGAAAGCTTGCCTGCTACTATATCTTTATCAACTCCTAGTGTGCTATTGGAAGGAAGGTCAAGTCCTCTAGGACATGCATGAGGCTAACATCATCACTCTCTACAAAAACAAGGGGGGACAAGGGTGACTGCAACAACTATAGGGGTATCTCTCTCCTCAGCGTCACAGGCAAGGCTTTTGCCAGTCATCTCAAAATGCTGGCAACAACTTGCTGACTGTATCTACCTGAAATCACAGTGTGGATTCAGAGCGGGGAGATCAACAGTGGATATGATATTCTCCTTACACCAACTGCAAGAAAAATGCAGAGAACAAAATAAGCCACTGTACGTAGCATTTGTTGACCTAACAAAAGCCTTCAACACTGTCAGCAGAGCAGGTTTGTTCAAGGTCCTGGTAAAAACTGGATGCCCCCTAACATTACTCGGTATGATGAACATGCCGGCCACAGTTCAGTTTGATGGATCAACCTCTGACAGATTTGAGATGAAGAATGGAATTAAGCAGGGTTGTGTTCTGGCACGCCCACTCTTTGGGATCTTCTTTTCTATGCTGCTGCACTATGCTTTTGACAGCTTGAAGGAAGGCATATATTTTGACACAAGATCAAATGGCATACTCTACAATCTATCACATCTAAAGGTCAAGGCAAAAATGAGGCACATACTTATTAGGGAGCTCCTTTTTGTTGATGATGCCCTGCCCATGAAGAAGGCCAACTGCAAATACTCAGGAATTGTCTCTCCCATGCTTGCAGGTTGTTTCCCCTGGCCATCAGTATCAAGAAGACTGGTCCTAAGACAGGGTGTCCGCCAATCACCATCTATCAGCCTTGACAACACACCTCTCAAGGGAGTTCTGCTACCTTGGATCCACAGTGAGTGACAACCTATCACTGGATGAAGTGTTAAATGTGCACATTGGAAAGGTAGCTACCACTTTCAGTAAGCTCTCCAAATGAGATTGGCACAATGCAAAACTCACAATCAGAACTAAATTGCTTGTGTACAAGGCCTGTATCTTCAGTGTCCTTAAGTATAGCAGTGAGATATGGTCAACATATGTATCAAGAAAAGAAGCTGAACAGCTTCCACTTATGCTGTTTATGGTGCATCCTTGACTTCAAGTGGCAAGACAGAATGTCGAACACAGAAGTCATCGCCAAAGCCAACGTGCCAACCATTACTGCACTACTTAAACAGTGGTGCTTATGCTGGCTTGGCCACCTCTGCAGGATGGAAGATAGGCACATCCCAAAGGACATCCTGTATGGGCAAACTGCAGGTGGGGAGAGAAGAGTAGGGCACCCAAAACTGCTCTTCAAAGATATCTGCAAGCAGGATATGAAAGCCCAAATCCTTACAGATAAAGTGGCACTCCCTTCTCAATTATGGAGTCCAACATCACAATGAGAAATGGTCCAACCCGGAGAGGAATGGGAGACACTTTACAAGTGGGTTTCAGAGGTACTTGCTCTCATTGAGGCCTGGTGAGACTGAGGGACCCAGGATTCCATTCATGGCCCTGGAGGGCAGTGATTTTTATGGGAACAGAGTCTCCTATTTCATCCTCCCAAGTTCACCCTTCCTGTCCCATTTCCTCCCAACTGTGCCTGTCACACTCTTTTCCTTTCCCTCCTTACTGACTCCTCATTAGGGTTTCATTCTCCTCACCTAGGGGTACCTCATACTTCTCGTTCCAGCCCCAGTCTTTTTTTTGCCAGCTAGGTGTAATGCCTTATTCTGCACCTGTTATGCAAACCCAATCTTCCTGCCCTTCTGACAGCCTCTTTCAATTGTTTGTCTCTTCCTGTCACCAGACTAGCTACTATATGCAGTTTTCCACCATAACTTATACAGTGTTAATCTCTCTCCATCTCCTTATCCCATCTTCTTTGTCTACCCAGTCTTCAGCCTCCTTCATAACACCAATTTCTTGACTGATCTCTTTCTGCTCTTCTATTCCCTATCCTGCCCCCCACATTACCATCTGTCCCTTGCCTCCCAGTTTCATTGGTCCCCAGTCCCAATTTTTTCTAGATGGTTTGTTTTCTTTTATCTTCTACTCAATCAAATGATTCCCAGCCCCATGTTCCACTTCACTTTGCAGCTCCTTGCCAATTGCTATTCCCAGTCTCTTTGCAAAACCAACCCCAGCCTCCCTTCTATGTTCTCAACTTCCCCTCCTTCTGGCTCCAAGTCACAGCCTTCCATCACTTCCGTGTGATTCTCTCTTCCCAACACGCCCCCATTTCTCCTTCCTTTGAGTCTCTTTTGCAGCAAACTCTTTCTAAAATTTCTTTCTTTCCCTCCACCCTAACCTAGCTCTTGTTTCCTCTGCATTCAAATGAGACAGGCTGCCCGGGGGCATCATGTTGAATTTTTGGGCTCATATACACATGCATGGAGGATGCTCCAATGCACTTTAATTACAGTGCATTGGAGCAGACGTCAGTGTCACATGTGTCAGCACCCCCATGCTGAAAAATGGTGGTGGGGCACTTTAAACTGAAACTTGTTCAAAGCACCCTGCCCCCATTTTTCAGTATGGGGACACTGATACACAAGATGCTCTAGGTGCTTTTAATTAGTGTGGGTCTTGGACCTGTGCTAATTAAAGCACACCCCTGCCCTCCCCCCTCCGAGCACATCTATAAATCCCCTTGAGAGAAAATCATTTCTCAGTTCAGGACTCATGGGTAAAGGGGGAAGGTGGCAGGAAACTACCTTTGAACCTGAGGGCATCCTGTAGTGACAATTATACAACTGAGATAATGCCTGTGCAAAGGTCCCCAGCCACAGTCCTTCTTGACTTGCATGTTGCTGATGGGCTTTAGTTTTTGGCATCTAGAAATGAAGCATGGTAATTACCAAGAGGCTCATTTGAGGAAATTTCTAAGTAGATTAATAAGATTTTACTTGCAATACGGGGCATGAGGCATGGACACACCAGTGGCAGTGGCAAATCCAGCAGTTGAGGAGCTGGGGCTATGGTAGTTAAGACAGATACATCTTCCTTGCCACGAATTGTCATGTCCATGGGGATCTAAGGGCCCCAGATTCTGCAACAGGCCATGCCCCTGGCCCCTGCCACCTTGCATTGGTTCACCTGGAGTCCATACACCCCTGCACTAGGAATCCCTTATAACTCTAAAAAAGGTGATGCAAAGTCTTCACATCAGTAGTATATCAATGGTAATTTGCCATTCTGACTGATCACCACATTACAATGAGTAGACTCTTGTAGTGTTTTTATTTGCAGAATGGTCTCATCAAGAAGAGAGGGAAAAAGACCTCTTTACCTACTCCTTCACTTTGATTGAATATCATCGTCACCGTCTGACAAGCAGAGCCATCTCCCAGGCAAACTCCACATTGATCTTCAGTTGCATTAGAATTTATCTCATAATCACAGCCAACAGTCTAAAAGGAAAGAAATTTTCAGGATAAATGATGCATCCATACTGTGTTACTGCAGACCCAACACAACACTGACTCTAATTCCAGCTTTTTATCAGCTGTTCTATAAAGAGGAAAAGAACTAATTTAATAGAATACTACATGCATCCAGAACCTTAATAGGAGAAGCTGACATATGTAGTCTAAATATAAAAATAATGTTTAGTGTAAAAAGGGGCTAGGCATTATTCATGAAGTGCATTCCAGGAACAGGTGACTGTAACTAGAAGTAATTATTATAATAGGCACACATCTCTCACTTGGCAGAAACTGTCCAGCACATCCAGGATTATTTCTATTTTTGTATGGCATGCATGTGTCCTGTGCTGCCCAAGAAAATTATGTACCAGGAGAACTAATAAAATAGCCCTGCCAGTATCACCTTAAAGAAGCTCTAATATTTTACCCACTGTATTTACTTTGGCAAATCTTTCACTGAGCTGAACATTTATTTTGGAAAACTTGAAACAAACACTTTTAACGATGAATGTTTTGAATTTGTAATGCTGTTGGTACTCAAAGTACTTAGTGCATGTTGGGAACTGGAATCAGCTGAGTTTGTGCAAGCATGGTAAATTTAAGCCACCAAAAGCTTTATACCAAGTTCATCCAACTTGGACACCTCCCCAGCCCAGGGGAGCACACTGAAGGTAGAGTTGGACAATTAAATAATATTGCAGCTTGGTGCCTGG